CATGACATAGACGGCATTTCACTCAGAGACAAGTTCAGAGCATGTGCTACGTGAACGCGGACTCTCCACTGTCACCAGAAGCACCACGGTGGGGCTAGAGGTCAACGATAATTTCGTTCTCTCGCCTCCAATCCATCAAATCCATGCCTCCCATTAGAAGTGAACGCTTTTATTGAGGAGGTACCTAAGTCGCACGCACGGCGCACCGAAAATGGCACATGACATATCCGATCGCGGCATACCGTAAAATGCAAGGAGTTCTCTTGTTTGACACAGATCAAAATAACAGTGTACATTCTGTGTCATGCCGGCAAAGAAATAGGCCGCTCGCAACATGAATCCAGTTATGACACATTGTTTCAGGGTCCCGTTCTTCCTTTTTTGGGGGGGGAGGGAGAGGCGGGGGCCGTATGTGCGGTGTAGCCTGCTTACTGTTTGCTTATGTCCTCAACCATTGGCTTATTACGCTTTGAGCTCTTCCATCAAAGTTTGTAGCAGGCCTGACACCATGTTCGTTGCCCTGTTAGTGAACAATGCCTTTTCTTTGTAACCGTTTTCGGACATGTTCCACCGCAATCTATAGCCAGAATGTTCCCATTTTCAGACATATATATAACTCCGCTACCAACTGTTAAGTTCCCGATGTGGCCCTCTGTTGCAGGATTGCAACATTTGCAACCCGGCGGTGCAGAAGTGCAGCACTTATCACCGGCCACCTCGCAATGTCAAACAAGGGCTTCAGCAGCCCGATCTGTTCGTGGAACTTCAACATGAATGGTGCGCAGACAGTCAGTAGGAAAGTAAACTTGCCAGCGTCCATGATCCAGTACAAGTCCACCCCATACCATCCAGGACTTGAGAGCCGTGAGCCTTTGTCCAGCACAATTGCAGCCACACAGGCAACATACTGCATGAGACACGTCAACGGCCAGGTGGCCTTGTGCCCTGGGCTCGGAGACGCTGTGGAATGTGTCCAGACCACCTTCAGTAGAATGGCAGTTGCAATCAAGGCAATGGCATGCGTGCTGTTGCAGAAGCGGAAGGCCGCGGCCCACGCAGATGCTTGACCAGCCACATTTGCATAGTACTGCACTCCTGCTCTGGTCCCACATGTGATATCCTTCAAGATGACCGTTGCTAGCGTCAGACGATGGATGTGATCAACGTTTCACAGCTTGCTCTGGCAAGTGCAAGCCCACCATCTTGCCATCAGCAAGAAGAGCAGCGAAAATACCTGACATTGCACAGACAGGCGTGGCATAGCATAGCATAACATGAAGGCATCTCGAGGAACATTAATCTCTGGTCGTCGCGCGACACCATTCGGTGAGTGATCGATCCGAGCCTTGAGGCGAAGAGGAAGCCGAAGAGCACGGCGGCGGCTGCGGCCGTGGTGGCGTGGTGGGGACGACGGTCCCCATCTTGCAGGAGGTGAGGCTGTGGTGGCGGAACAGACGGCGAAAAGGGTGAACTCCTCACCACAGTGGGGGCTATTGTCGGAGAATCTGTGGCAAATCCTTCCTGAGGGAACAGCAGCGGAGTGCCTGGCACGTCCCATCGCCTCCTGTGCTGGTTCAAAAACGCCAGGGCAAGTGTTTGAGCCGATGAAAGGACATGTTCGAAGCCTTTGACTGCGTCGAAGCCATAACTGTGGTGAAATGCGAAGCATCGGCAGTGATCGCCAACTGTTAGATAGTTCTTAAATTTTAGAACTCTTGTACAAGAGACCCACCAATCACGCCCTTGACCACAGGTGTGGTGCGCAAGCCTCTAGGCACTTACCTCGGTCGCAAATCTGGTCGAGACATATCTCTTGACATATCGTATTGCGTGTGTCTTCGACAATTCCGACCCGTACATATGAATAATTCATCATGGAGATTTCGCTGTCCCAACATGATGGGAAATTCAGCCACTGGTGGTGGTTTCGAAACTACCTGCGAATATGTTCTCATATGTCGTACTTTCAATTTAGTTAGTTACTCTTAGCATGTGCGCATACCACGCTGCCACATCTGGACTCGGGGCGATCCTGATACAACGTTGGCTGGGTTTCAGGCAACGAGGACGCTGACGGCATGGTGCTCAGTCTTGACACAGTTCCCATGCACTGGCGTACTATAAGAGGCACTATCTCGCCCGCAATGTCGCAATAATGTTCCACGATGTTTCCGTCCCTTGAACGTTGCGTCGACCGCCCGTCAGCGGCCATGTGCACCAAGGTATCAATTTCTGTTCCATCAACGATTTTGAAGCATCTGGCGGCTCGGTTGTCGACAACCTTGATGCAAACCCTATCAAGAAGCTTGCAGCGGCATTGCTGGGAGTCGCCGCCACGAGCCAGGCGTTACGAGTAATTATCCTTCCAGCAGCGAGGTGACTTGATCCGTGGTACCTGTTAAACTCACTTTTGGTCATGCATTCAGCTGTTTCACCTTTATGACTGACCAAATAAATTGATGGACTGAGGGTGGCGCAAATCCACGCCATCTTCAATTGGCCAGCTTCAAACTTAGCGAATTCTAGTTGTTTGTAAATGGACAAAAGAAAATGCTAAATTCAGTTCCAAAGTTTCAGTTGGAAGGATATCATGGCATGGTTGCAAATGGGAAATGGCCTCAATGGGAAACGCTTGATGCCATCGCGACGCAGTAAAAGTTAATAGAAAAATGCAACGGACGCTCTAAAATAGTCACAGTCAACAATGGTAGTGGTTTAGGCGCATGTTCTCAAAGAATTGTCTTCTGTAGAATTGCAGAATTTGACCAAATATCTCTGGAAACTTTGCAAATAAGCCACATTTACGGAGTGCGTGCTGGAGGGCGTGGAATGCACAAGAACATTATTGGAACAAAACTTCAGCTTGCAGTCTCCCTATAGCAAGAGTTAATGTGTGCGGTTGCTCTCTGGCGAGCATCAATACACTGGAATGCGCCAAAGCGACAATCATCTGGTGCACCGTGAGATTTTCCCTGACGGATTTGTATGAATTGTTTAGATGCATATTGTTCAAGGGCAGGATAAATTGTCTTTTGTTCAACATTGTCGTAGGGGATTCTGGTGTAGTTTAGGACCGGCCATCAAGGGAACGAGGAGTGATATGGGATGTGCTTGTGTCAAGAATAGGCGCAACCACGCCCTCGGTGTTGGCCTTTGAATTTTTACATACTGAATATCAGGTGTTTGGGATTTCAACAATATGTAAGGAGGGCGCTTGCAGCGCTGAGTTCATTTAGATGTTTTCGTGTCAATGGTGCGCTGCAAAGTATTGCAAAGAAATATGAGCGAAGTTCAGTAATCTTTCTTCCCTCATTCCACAAGGCAGAGCCGAGGATCACTTGGTTGATCCATCTGGTCCGCAAACAACGCCGCCCGACGTCCATTTGAGCGTTGCAACCAGAACGCCCAACTGTCCAAACGGATGAGGTTGATCTGCAATGGTCCTGGACTCTGAACTGCTATTTGGCATGGAGGCGAAATCCGCGAGCGGGTCATCCGTCTGGGCAGCGCCACAACGGAAATTATTGAACTGGAAAAAATTCACTTTCTGCATCAAACTGGATTCCTGGGTTCAGATTCCGATCCTCTGCGACGGGCGGTTTGGATGTGCCAGAATGGCCTCAGTTGTTTCAGCAATATAGCAGAATGATACGGCTCGTTGTGTAATGCATCGGGCAGAATTATATGGCCAATTCGGAAAAGGGTTGGGCTCTTGATTCGCTTTGATTCTTGATTCTTGATTCTTGGTTCTTCATTCACATGGAAAGCGAAGGTCTCCTCCATGCGCTAGTGCTTCAGAATGAGGGATTAAAAAGTCCCAGCTTCATCTCCGGCATTGCACATAGCTCTTGGAAAGAGTGGGATGCACGAGAAGGGGGTTGGCAGCATGGAAGACAGCTGCTGCCATCACTGTCCTGAAACAAGTCCTGGAAGGTGCGCATGGCCCTCCTGCTTAGGGTCCTGGTTGATCCACGCACCAATTGCCCATGCGACCTTTCGTGTCGCGACTCTCGCAAAAAACGAAACCAGGTAGGCAATGCCAAATCACATTGAGAGTATGTGTGGCTGAGGCTCAACGCTGCGACCAAGTGAACGCCACACCTGATGCGCTTGCATTTGCAATCCAGCCATGCCGCCGCTGTCCTCCCCAAGAACAGTTCGCTACCTGGATTTTTGACAGGCCCGCTGCCATTAGATGGAGGCAGAGTTACCTGTGTGGCGCCCCATCGCTTCTAATCGATAGACGCTGCGCATGTGTCTCCGGTGGTGGCAGCTCATGACGTGCAGTTAGCCATACAGGTTTTCAGCTCCGGCTGGAGAAATATGGGGATCATAGCACCCATGGGCGCGGCATGGGAGTTGGATAATTTCAATCAACGCAGTTATATACCCTACATTCACGCTCTCTTGGAAGCGCGCGCGCACACCTGTCCTGCAGAACGCACCTCCTTCTTTTGTGATCCTAAGGTACACCAAGCCGGTTTTCAAAGCGAAGTCGCACCACACCCCAGCTCCTCACAGGACACTAGTAAATGTTTTTGCGAATACAGTAATTGTGCACACAAACACCCTGTTGCCCAACTCGCGCAGCACAGCAATCCTTCCACTTCTGCAGCCTTTATAATGTCGAACTGCGTCTGCAACGATCCATACCAAACCCAAGCGTGCTCCACTGAATCCATGTCAACGACTCTCATTAATTCCAACGCCAGTTTTAGGGGCAAATCCACGTTACACACACGACGCACTCAAATTGCCAATAGGGCATTCCCCGAGCTGCAAAAGCACTGCGCCTACAAATAATTTTGCTGGATCAGACTTGCAATCTGTTCAGGACCGTAGCCAGACAGCGTATCCAGAATCCATCGACACAGATATTGCTAAGTCTTCAGTGAACGATAGCTTCAAACCGCTGCACTACCAGTGTGCTGTTTGGGACACCATATCATAGATTCCCACCACACTGCTCAGAACTGATTGGCGCATTGCCGGTCTCACTCTCACGCAGCTGCTAAGGGCAGTTTCTGGAACGAATCACTGCTCATGGGTCTGAACAGGTAGCCCACAGCCATATAAAAAATGATAGAAACCACATCACCCATTGTGCTATAGAGCCAGTAATGCTCCACTGATACATAGTGCAGGAAACACACCAAGGCCCTTGTGAAATAGAAGTGCGCTGCTATGGCAAAGGAAAACACGGTCCAGCGGACCACTCTCGACCTACATGAGGCATCTTCATGTACTGTTGCCAGTCGTAAATATAGCCAAACAGCTCCCGACAAGGACCCCACTATTGGAAGACCTGCTGCAAAGGGCACAAGAACAGCAAATAGGAGTGTAGGATCAACTACTACCATAACTGCCATGGCCGACCTGAAATACAGTATTGCAATTGACAGCCAGCAGAAAGACAATGCCCAGATCAGACGGTATATCATCGGTCGCCTTAGAATGGCATTGATGGGCTCTCGAATGGCATTGACAGGCTTCATAAACCCGGAAAATGCATCGTCTGGCATGAACGGTGGAAGGGCACGCAGTAGGGTAAGGAAGCTGCCAATGTCCATGATCCAGTACAAGCCACCCCAATTCATCCATGTCATGCGAATTGGTGAATTTTCTTCAACCACAATCGCAGCGACACTTGCAACACCCTGCATGAGACAGGCCACCAGCAAGATCTCCTTGTGTTGCAGACTCAGACAAGCTGTGGAATGTGTCCATCCAGCCCTGAGGAGCATGAGAACGGCAACTAGGGCAATGGAGTGTGTGCTGCTGCAAAAGTGGAAGGCAGTGGCCCATATTGATGCAAGACCAGTGCAATTTACATTGTGCATCATGCCTGCTCTTGTTGCACTTGTGAGAGCCTTCAAGATGGCAACTCCTAGCATCAGGCGATGGATGCGGTGAATGTTGCATTTCTTGTTCTGGCACATGAGGCTCCACCATCTTGCCAGCAGTAAGAACATCACTGAGATGACCTGGCATTGCATAGACAACCACAATGCAGCTGTGAGAAGCTCAGTTAACTTGACATCAGGCACTTTTGCATTGCACGAGTGTTATAAAATGGTCGTCCTGGAGTTGTCAACATTCGCTTGTGTTGCAGGTACTTGCCGCCAATAGGCAACAAGGCCAGGACACTGGCAGAAACACTTCTTGGCACATTGGGCCACAGCTGCCGTCTCCCTTATGAGATTTGAAAGGGTAGGATTGTACACCACCCTCCCATGCTCGGGGGTTCTAGTTGGCTCTTCTGTGTTCTGTACCACCTGAGCCAAACAGTGCGTGGGTTTTGCTACACACAATGCTAAGCTTTCGAAGCCCTTCCTGGCCCAATATCTCAAGGTCTTCACAACCTCCACTCTGCTTATATCCCTGCAGCTGGCTGCAGTCCATACAGTCGACCAATCCAACCATGGGAGCCGGCAATCTCCCAGCTCATCTTCCAAGAAGACAACAAGAGTCTGGCAACACACCCAGCACTTGTGCAACAAGGCATCTAAAACCCACAGGCAAGAGCAGCAAATGACAAAAGCACCCACCCACACACTTTTACAGCCAAAAGGTTGAAAAGGCACTTGGGAGAGGATGACGATCAGTTTTGATACTCTCACCATGTCCCTGGATCCCTGTTGATGGCTGCACAGCACACATGATGGCCACCAATTTCCTGGCCCACTGGCACGTTCAGGTTTACCCCCCCCCCCTGGGGGTAAAGGTTCCACCCACAACCCACCGAGGCATTCTGGTTGTTCCCAATGCATTGCAGTGCTGTGTTCTCGAAATCCTGAACATCAACAGGTCAGAAGGCCCCAAAAGGCTCACCAAGTACGCCACCGGCAGCTTTGCCTCTCCAACGCCCAGATAGTGCCGCCCGCCGCTCGAGTCTCGATTGTACATGGACATCGAGATATCGAAGGACACCATTAACAGGTCGGGTCCCCAATTCACGTAGAGAAGGGTCCCTTGCCCAGGGTCCACTGACTCCTCATTGGCGCTGAACACGGCGCCTCCTCGCCTCTCGACCTCTGACAACACTTCCGGAGAACTGAAATTGAAGAGCGGGATACAGCGGACTTGCTCCTGTTCCCATCCACAGCTCGGGTCCCCGCCCCCTTGTTCGCAACCCATCTCCAGGCGTCCCAGGATCGAGGCCTCGTCAGCAGGGACGATGCACACATAGACGTCCCCCAGAATGGGCACCCTGACAGGGCCTCGCGCCTCAAAGTTGCGAATCTCCACGTCCACGCGCCCATCCGAGCCGAACCCAAACGGCTTCTCGAGGAAGATCAGTCTTCGGGTGTCGCGAGACACCACTCGGCGGGTGATCGCCCCACGCGCCGAGGCGAGGAGGAAGCCGAAGAGCACGGCGGCGACTGCGGCCGTGATGCCCGTCCGCGGCTTGGTGGGACCCGCCGTCCCCATCTGGTTGGAGGGGAAGCGGTGAAGGGCGGACAGAGGGCGCCAGGGGGGGACACCCCCGCCCGGTGGGAGGCATCGGCGCAGAATCCGTGGCAAATCCTCGGGGTCGGGGCTTCCGCGCAGAGCGACTTGCACGTCCCATCGCCTCCAGTCAGTTGGTTTGAAGGCGCTGGGGCGGCGCCAGCGTCGATTCACCCGCTCGGCAAGCAGGGAGCAACCGCGAGGATTGCATCATGGCATGCAACATGATGACTCGGGCGATTCAAAGGTCCGGGAGCGCCGCGCGGACCACGTTTGGTGAGCAGTGGTACACGATCGTGCGCACGCGCATGCCAAGAGATGGACCTGTCGAGATCTGACAGACGAGAAATGCCAAGTGGTTTGCTGGCCGTGGCAACTGAGGCACCTGTTGCGGACCTGTTAAGAGCAAAGACGGCAGAGTGACGCCTCCACGTTTTGCTGAACACGTGGATTACAGAGTGGATGAAAAGTGTATTCAGCATCTCGGCATATGCATGGCGCAGACTTGCGGAGCAGATGACCAACTTGAGGAGCAAGTCGATATTGCCCATGTGTCGGTGCTGCAATTGTTGAATCGTCTTTAGTCGTGTCGCCATTTCAGTCATTGAATGGCATGTGATGGACAGATGGCGGCTGGCAGGCTTGCTATTTGCGTTTACGTTTACGTATTTACGTTTTACACGTACACAAGTAAACACACAGAAGCGCCCATTTTTGCGGTTATATGCCTTTTTGCGGTTATTTTTGCTACTGTTATTATTTGTTATTTGTTACTTCCTCCGTCCGGAATTAATTGTCCTCTATTTGAGAGATAAAATTCGTTGTAAAAGACATCTGAAACTTACCCAAAAATATCAGAATTGGAAAGATTGGGTTGCAAAACCCTTAACTACCAATTTTGAAGAAAAATATTTAGTCCCACCCCTTCTAGATGGCCCCCAAAATTGGCCGAAAATCGTCCAAAAAGAGTGCGTGCAGATTCCGCATCTGCCAGAGAACCGCACGTTTTTGAGTCACTCCCATCCTTGGTGCACTGAAGATAAGTCGTTGTCGTCTTTAGAGTGAAGGGCAGTGTCCTTTACGTGGAATAGCGCTTGCCAAACACGGACGAGCGTGTCTGGATCCCCATCGTGGGAGGCCATTATCACAGTTTTGACGATTTTTGAAATCTCGGCCATCGTCGATCTTTGATGTGCGTATGTAAAGCAAGCGGACAAGGCTAGGGTACAGGGTATTCAAGCTTGGGCTATATGCGAGCTATCGTTCCAAGATTATAAAGTAGACTTGTTTGCACAATCTGCCTCGATTGAGGCTTGAATCGTTGTTTTTGTGTGCAGCCTAGCCCACACCTCACAAACTACCATGATCTGCGAATTCTTGCATGCAATCCACAATCTGTCGCATCCCAACAATTGCGTTTCCCTTTGAGAGACATAGTTTTATCTATCTAGCTAGTCTTCTCAAGCTCAAGCCCTTCAAGTGCCAAAAAATGGTCGATTCACTATTCCTATCCAGGAGAATGACTGCCTAATTGCCCCCTAATTGTCCGCCGCTGAATGGGGTGATGGCCGCCACCTTCCTAAAGGTCTGCGAGGAATTTGGGGGGCCTCTTGCAGTATTCCTCATAGTGAAGTTGGAGGTCCAAAAGTCGTGGTTCAGAAATTTGGACCTGATGGGCATCTCTGATTTGGCCAATCGAACTTGAATTGAAGCCACAAGACACGGCGACTTCCACGATGAAGACTTTCAAGACACATTTTCTGTTGCCCTTTTCCTTTGACAGCACCTCCATGATCTTCGGTCCAAATGACGTGGATAGTTTTGCCCGGGCGGCTCTGTAGCGCTGCCGCAAAGGCGTGCTCCTCAAAACAGCGAAAATGGCCATTCCAGCACGGATGTTGAAAAACTGGTGGGTTTCTGGCTAGATGACCCTTGCTGCAAAGTGCTGCCAAATCCGCAATACTCAACGGATTGACTTTAAATTTTGACTGCATACTCTTAAAACATAGGTGTAGTTTTGCAAGAAATTTGAATGAGAAATGAAGTATCTATGATAGAGAAGGAAGGCACCAAAGTCATAGAGGACAATTAATTCCGGATGGAGGAAGTATTTTGTTATTGTTATTTTTTATTGTTTATAGCTATTGTTTTGTGCCGTAGTTTTATGCCATGTTGGGCCACTCACGTTACATGATGAAGTCGCATACAGTGATCAGCCCTTCCCCCCTGGAGCATACGCAACACAGCGCCCACCTCCCCCTGGGAATAGGCAACGACGTCGTCAAACAAAAAGTCACTTTCTGCTCGTTCCAGCACGTCTAACTGCCGTTCTCCGGACTCCTTGACTCTGTACGTACCGTCTTTATGTACACAGGGCCGGTATTTACGTACTTTTACAGACGTTTATGTGCAAGGGCATAAACATTATTTTTACGTGTAAAACGTAAATACGATCTGTGCTACGCCGTATTTTTACAAGCCTGGCGGCTGCCTGGTGGCGCAAAACTTTAGGCCTGTCAGGGTTTGAATTGGACGGCCGCTTAATTGTGCCAAAACAACAAAAACACAGACACTGAATATGTACTTCCTTCGGCCGGGATAAATGAAACAGTTTGTTGATTGACCGCAATCTTATCATGTACTTTGTGTTTTTTTTTTGAAAATTGGACCAGAGCATCTAATATGCGTTTAGTCAATTCCATCGAAAATTAATAAACAGAAAATAAGTTTCAGCAACATGATAGTACTTTGAACCGGAACGAGACAGCATTGGCGTTTGAGCATTGGGAATCAGTCAAAACCTGGCGGCCCAGATCCAGGAAGGCCCGGCGCACGGGTGATGCCCCCTCCAGTGGTCTTCACAGTATCGAAAGGGTGGAGTTGCCTCGGCGCTCGGGCTATAGCCCAAAGATCGACACCCTTCGCAACGCACGATCGACAGAAATGGCGCCTAGGTCTGCATACCGCTATCGATGCGTGCTCGAAATCCCCGCCATCCTCCATGCCAGGACACCGACATCCCTGGGATCCCCCACTGCCTGGAGGTCTCCTGGTGGCTAAAGACTGGCCGCGCTATATTTGCGTGTGACACAAGCTCTGTTTTCAGCACAGATCTCCGATTAACTGCCTGCCTGATGCAAGCAACCCCTCTTTGCAAATAGGCATCTGCCCGCCGATCATGGCAATGGATGCTCTATCGGAGACCCCACATGTCACTGTGGTGGCGTTCTTGCGCCTGGCTATGGCACGGGCAGCGGTGCCCTTGAAAGGGGCGAGAACGGCACACAAAAGTTTGCTCACGGCACGTCCCCACCAGAGCCAGTTTCAACTATCTTCCACAGTTAAATTCGACCATTTGCGCATTGAACAATCGTATGAAATCGCGTTAATTTGCCTGGTGAGCAATCGTGTGAAATCGCATTAATTTGGCGGTGAACAATTGTGTGAAATCGCGGTAAAGTCGTGTAAGAATCAGGTACTTCCGAGCACGACTTTACATGATAGCTAAATCTGTGTAGTTTTCAGCCCTGTGTCGTACACGAAAGTGACCGACCTTGGTGAACACGATAAAGAACGCGGCCTTACACGATTTCAACCGTGTAACAGCGGCAGCCGTGTATTTTGTGATCATTAGACGATTGGCACACGATGTTTACACGACTTCTACACCATTTTTACATGCATAACATGGTACACGATTTTCAGGACCGTGCACTTTGGCGGATTTTTATCAGTGTTCTGGCTGTCGCACAGCGAGGGGATCATCACATTCTCCCAAAACTTTCCGTGGTGGTCTCAACACCCATGGTGACCTCGCCCATGGTGGCGGCCCTTTCTGAAAACGCCGTGGTTGTGAAGATCGCCGATTTCCGGGTCTCCGATCCAGGGCTGCTGTCCCCAACAGTCCTACAAAACCACGGTGGCATCAATGATCGAGCGGTACAGAACCCGTAGACTACACGGCTTATGAGGGTACACGGCTGAAATTGTGTCAATGTGTACAGTAATTGTGTGGGTTTGGAATGACATTTGCCAAAAGGACACAATTGGATTTTGACCAGACCGTGTCAGGACTGTGTCATCTGGCCTGTTTTTTTACAAGTTATTGTTGTGAAAATCGACTTAGCCATGAACAGCCTTTCGTGCAAAATGTCGTTAGTGAGCCAATAGCATAATTAGTGTGCAACATCTTGATTTCCAAGCAAATTGTAAAAACTATTATGTTCAATATGTGCAATCGACCCATAATACAATAAACATACTAAAGATCAAAGAAAAACATGTTTTGAAGTTGCACAACATTACCATTTCTATACTTGTGTAATATCCACTAACGACATTTTGCATGAAAGGGTGTTCATGGGTCATCTCGGTGATTCAATGTTGCCAAAAAGCCTGGGATAGTTTGAAGAAGAAAAGGCACTGCCAAAACTTTGCATTGCCAAGTGACGCAAAGCCGATAGAAATTTAGGACCTGGAAGGGATGCTCATTCTGGTAATACATCCTTGCCAAAATGGTCAAAATATGACCTGTTCAAAAGTGCCATCTTGTCAGATGCCAATCTACCACTGGTTGTGACAGTTTCTCTGAAGATTTGGAGGGTCAATTGGCGTTGCTACGTTAGGTCTCCTTCGAGCATCGGGACCAGGGTCAGGATATTAGACAGCCGATTACTCTCAGTATGGAAATTTGACGTAGCTCTGCACAAATCCGGAGAGAAATTGATTCATGAGGGAAGGATGCTTGTACAACGGTAATGAGTATCTAGGTACTGACGAAGATATCAGGTAAGGGAATCCGTGGATGCTGTGTATGCTAAATTGCTCACCCAAGGTGACTCAATACGTAGAGACACAAATTTTAGGCGCTTAAAGGAACCTATCAAACATTTTGGAATGGGTGTGTGTTTTATGACATGCACCACGTAACAAACACAAGCCCGACAAAGATCGTACAACTAGAGTACAAAGAGCCAATCCAC